CATTATTGTTGAAATACACAGTCCTGAAAAAGGGACGTTTCTTTTTTTGCTGAGTATATAATCTAGCAGAGTTTGCACCATTTGTAGAAATGAAACTAACTCTAAATTAACTATATTGAAAAAAAAAAACTGTAGCAATAGGCTACAGTCAAGATCTTGAAGAATCAAGCGCTTGACACTTGGCGCCCCACACTGAAGGAGGGGCAGTGACACTTTGGTCAGCACTGTTGCCTGACACCTCCAGGGTCAACACATGAAATGTTCCCCAAGAGCAGAGTGGTTTAGTTTCTCATACTCGGCATATTCAGTTGTATGGCATGTTCTAAGATGCCTAATCATGTTAGTGGTGTTAAAATGGCGTTGCTTGCTTCCACCTCGAGGGATTTCATCACACAATACATTACAAATGGCTAACTTTACGTCTTTATCGGACACTTTGAAAAACTTCCAGACGGGAGAACACATGTTGCCACTAGTAAGCTCCGCTCTGCTGTTGTTTACCTGTGCGCCATGTATGCACGTGTGAAAAAGTCGCACGAGTAATTTACGTCAAGTGATCGGCTTTTTTGATTGGCGCTTTTGGGGTTCGCCGATCAAGCTATTTTTAGCCAATATTGGCCGATCATGATCGGTGGCCGATCAATCGGAGCATCACTAATACACTGTGCCATCGCGATCACATTTTTCTAAAACTGCGCTGCACATTAAAATATTTGTTTACAGAACATGCAAGAAATGCACTGTTTAAAATATTAGTTACAGGATATACAAGAGTTATTTTATTTAGAAGAGATACTGCTTATTTTCTACTTTTAATAAGAAAAACATTGAAAATAATTTATTTTGTTTCCAAAAGTGCAAGTTATTTATTTTTACTTTTTTTATAAGAACAAAGTGACTGTTCGTTTTAGGCAATGTGTGCTTTAATTTCAGTTGTTCAACATTGATGTTCAATAAATAATCATAGATAGTAGATAGTATGTTTCGTTCAATTATTTTAAAATCAAGTAATGCACCCTTCATTCAAAAATCTCTCACTTGTAATATGTGAGCATATTTACTGTACAAAACTTGTCAGTGAACTATGAAGGCAAAAATAAAATAAAATAATCGTTCATTAATCGTAATCGAGTTAAAATGTTCAATTAATCGAGATTTTGATTTTAGGCCAAATCGCCCAGCCCTAGTCGCAGGTATTTAGTTCAATTTCTGTCTGTGTTGCGGTTCAAATTGAACCAGTAGCACTCACGGCAGTATTTGGAGTGTTGCCCCCTAATTTACTACTACGAAAATATAAAGCAGATTTTGTGGCATTTGTTACTCTATTAGCTAGACGGCTGATTTTGCTGAGGTGGAAGTCTTCTGTTCCTCCCCCTCACTCCTTATGGATTAATTTAAGGAAGTTCTATTTTTTGCTAAAGTTGAAAAGATAAGGTGTACACTGAATGGTTCACTGCATAAGTTTAATAAAATATGGGGTCCTTTTTTGTTCAAAAATTAGGGTTGGCAGCCATCCCTGAGTAACTAAGGTTTAATTTAATATTTTGTTGTCTTGGTGGGTCTGGAATGTTGTCTGTTGTCTGTTGTTTTTGCGCAGTGACAATCCTGTATCTGATTCCATTTAACATTAGGTGACCAACAGGTTTGCTATTTTTTTCTTTTTTTTTTTGCGGGGGGGGGCTTTTTTCTATTCTATATTTGACTTTTCATTAATGTTGAAAATGTTTTCCTGTACATTTTCATGTCGTCGAAAGTTCAATAAAAAAAAAATATATTTTTTTAAAAATGTGAAGCTTGCCCTTTCTCCATTTTCTTTCAGTACACCAGAAAGGACTTCAGGGGGCACGGATAGATTCATTTTGCCATGACTCAGAAAGCGCTTTATTGTGCTTAGATCTAGAGGGAGCAACGGAATGCAAAATATTAGTACAAAAGGAATCAAAATAACTTAAAACCTCCTTGCCACCCAAAGCAAGATTGCCTGCTACTATATCACACACATTCAATTCATTAAACAGGTTACAAAACAGTGGTGCTGTGCCAGGGGTTATCATATGAATGTGACGTGCGGGGCAGAAGTTCTCTTTCTCAAATATGGGATTGAAACGGTGAAAAGTACAGGCAAATGGTCAGAAATACAAGCTGATTCACAGATATCATTAACCCGCACAGGTAGTCCCCATGACAAAACAAGGTCTAAAGTATGTCCTTTTTCATGAGTCAGGCCAGTTACAGACTGAACAATGTTAAAAGAGGCAAAAAGATTTTTTTAAAAATCATTAACCATAGGCTTGGACTCACAGGAAACATGAATGGTAAAATCATCAGCAATTAAAAACTGATCATACTTCAGAGTAACCTTCGATAAAAAATCAGCAAAATCCACAAAAAAAAAATCATTATTGAATTTAGGAGGGTGATATACAACAGCAAACAGAATAGTAGAGAAAGCACAGTTTGGTGGAAGAAGTTCAGTGAATGGTGTACTCTTACCAACCTGGAGCCAAGTCTCTGTCAGGAGTATGAAATCCAGTTCACGGGAAGTGAAAAAATCATTCAGCAAACAAGTTTTGTTTGCTAGCGACCTAGCGTTTAGCAGAGCCACACAAAGAAAGACCTCAGAGCTCACCGAAGATATAGCACGTCCTACTGGCCGGCGAAGAGAGTAGCAAACGCCACTTCTGCGAGCATACAGCTGGTAGCAAAGATGCAGAGCAGGGGAGATCAGCGGGTCATCCGCCGTCATCAGCAGGTCGGTGGCAACAGGACAAATCCAGCGGTCCCGCCAGTGCGACAAGAGTTGGAGTACAGAAACGTACCGTCTGTCACTGAAGAGGTAGAAGCCAGAAGCTCCAGAGGAGGCCCACAGATAAGCCTTAAATCTTACAAGCACATAGGGGAGAAGGCGAAGATGTGTGGGAATTGACAGTGAGAGTGTAATGCAGTATGTAGCAGCGCTACGGGAGCTCGCGCAGCATTGTAATTACGGGGAAAGATTGAAAGAAATGCTACGTGATAGGCTGGTGTGCGGTATATCGGATGATCGTATGCAGCGGAGGTTACTGGCGGAGCCCGAGCTGACGTTCCAAAAAGCATTGAAAATCGCACAAGCTATTGAAACGGCTAATAAGGATGTGCGTGACCTGCAGGGACAAACGACAATGCTGGACAGCCCAATGTCGAAGACCGTATCGCAACTTGCAGTGCATAAAGTGAGTTCAAGACACTATGGGCGTAGCAAAACGGTAGGGGGAACGTGTTACAGATGTGGTGTTGAACACATGGCACGGGACTGTCGTTTCATATCGGTGTCGTGCCATAGTTGCGGGAAAAAGGGGCATGTAAAAAAAAATGTGCAGGTCTGCTCCTCCGGGAGCACAGTTACAGCTTCAAGAGGGAGGGAAGCAGAAGCAGTATCAAAAAGATAAAAAGCTTTCGGCACATCATATAAATGAAGTCCCGGAGAAGCACTCTAGTGATGAAGAAGTGTTTGCAATGTATAGGGTAAAGGTGGCAAAAATGCCACGAGTGGACCCCATTACCACACAACTAAATATAAATGGCAGCATGGTGGATTTTGAGGTGGATACCGGCTGCAGTGTGACAATTTTGACAAAGACAGCATATACCAAGCTACGGGTAGCAGGGAGCGCTCAAGAGCTGCACGACTGCCCATGGACTTTGAAAACATACACAGGAGAACAACTAGCAACAGTGGGGGCTGCGGACGTCACAGTTACATACCAAGACAAAGTCAAGCAGCTACCAGTAGTAGTGGTAGCAGGCACAGGGCCAAACCTGTTAGGCAGAGGGTGGCTCAAGCAGTTGGAGCTACACAATGTTATTGCCATTAACAAGGTGCAGTCAGACCTGACGTTGCAGGATGTTTTGAAACAACATGAAGGGGTTTTCAAAGAGGAATTGGGAACTTGGAAGGGCCCACCAGCTAAAATATATGTAAATGAAGGAGTTGCCCCAAAGTTTTATAAACCGAGACCAGTTCCATTTGCAATGAGAAAGAAAGTGGAGGTGGAGTTGGAAAGACTCACGAAGCAGGGCATAATTGAACCTATTAAGTTTTCTGATTGGGCAACACCTATTGTGCCCATTCTGAAGCCGGACCATTCCGTACGTATCTGTGGGGATTACAAACTCACTGTAAATTTAGTCTCCAAGTTGGAGCAATATCCAATTCCAAAGCTGGAAGACTTATTTGAAAAATTAGCAGGGGGACAAAAGTTTAGCAAACTGGACTTAAGTCACGCATATCAGCAAGTGACCTTGGATGAAGCGTCCAAGCAGTATGTCACGTTAAACACATTGAAAGGGTTGTTCAAAGTAAATCGTCTTCCTTTCGGTGTTTCTTCTAGTCCTGCCATTTTTCAGCGTTTGATGGAGAGTCTGGTGGCAGGGATGACAAACGTGGCGGTTTACCTGGATGACATCCTGGTGACAGGACGGAGCGATCAGGAGCACCTGGCAACTCTGAAGGAGGTCCTGACACGACTACAGGAAGGGGGTCTGCGGCTGAAGCGCAGCAAATGTGCTTTTATGGAGCCTGAAGTGGAGTTTTTAGGACATAGAGTGGATGCCTCAGGGCTTCATCCACTGCCACACAAGGTGGAGGCAATACAGAAGGCACCGGCACCCGCTAATGTTACAGAGCTGAGGGCATACCTGGGATTACTGAACTATTATAACAGGTTCCTGCCATGCCTATCATCATTATTAGCCCCCTTGCACAAACTGTTAAGAAAAGATGCTTGGTGGACATGGGAACGCGAGCAGGAAATGGCTTTTGAGGAGTCTAAACAACTCTTGCATTCCTCCAAAGTATTGGTGCATTACGACAGCCAGAAGGATTTAATCTTGTCCTGTGATGCTTCACCATACGGTGTTGGTGCGGTGTTGTCACATCGCATGCCGGACGGGCAAGAGAGACCTATAAGTTTCATGTCTCGTACTCTGACACCTGCTGAGAGCAACTACTCACAACTGGACAAAGAGGGTTTGGCTGTGATGTTTGGGATACAACGCTTCCATAAATATTTGTATGGAAGACGGTTTGTTATTTGCACCGATCACAAACCTCTCTTGTCTCTCTTCAGTGCGCTGAAGGCAGTGCCTCACATGGCATCTCCACGGATTCAGCGATGGGCGTTAACACTCCGAGCCTATGAATATGAGATCCGGTACAAGCCAGGTAAATTCCATGACAACGCAGATGCCATGAGTAGACTCCCACTGCCTCAGCAGCCAACGGAGGCAGAGCAAGAGGATCGAGTACTGATGATGGAGGACATATCTTTGGTGTCGGCAGGCGAAGTAAGAAGTTGGACTGGTAAAGACCCTGTGTTGTCTCGGGTTAGACAGTTTGTCCAACATGGTTGGCCACAACACGTGGACCCAGCGTTTCAGCCTTACACGGTAAGAAATACTGAGTTAAGTGTGCAGGATGGGTGTGTATTGTGGGGATCGCGTGTAATTGTTCCTCAGCCGGGGCACAAGGCATTGCTACAGCAATTGCATTACGGGCACACAGGCATTTCTAGGATGAAAGCCTTAGCGCAGAGCTACTTTTGGTGGCCAAAGTTAGACTCTGACATTGAGGCGCTAGGGAAAGGATGCCCTACATGCCAAGAACATCGGAATGTACCAGCACCAGCTCCAGTGGCCGAGTAAACCTTGGCAAAGACTGCACATGGACTATGCGGGACCATTTATGGGACACATGTTTTTGATCCTGATCGATGCCTATTCTAAATGGATGGATGTTTATCCAGTAAAGTCGGCCACGTCAGCTACCACTATTGATTTTTTGCAGCCATGGGTTACCTGAGATGTTGGTTTCAGACAATGGCTCATGTTTTGTCAGTGCGGAGTTCAAGGAGTTCACGCAAAAAAACAGTATTAGACACATTACCTCGGCTCCATACCATGCTTCTTCCAACGGCTGCGCCGAGCGAGCAGTCCAGACTTTTAAGTCAATGATGAAGAAGGTGGGTGAAGGGAGGCTCTCAACTAAGGTGTCAAGAGTGCTGTTTAACTACCGCATTACCCCACAATCGACCACGGGGTTGTCTCCAGCGGAAATGCTGCTGGGTAGAAGGTTACGATCAACCTTAGACCAGGTGCACCCAGATCTGAGGGCAAGGGTAAAATGGAAGCAGGACACCCAGAAGAAACTTCATGACAAACAGGTGCAGGGGCGAAGTTTCCAGGTGGGAGACCTTTTTTTTTTTTTCTTCACGAGGAACTTTAGTTACGGGTCTAAGTGGATCCCTGGTTTTATTGTCAAAGTCACAGGACCGGTCTCATACAAGGTCATGTTAGGGGACGGTAATGTCGTATGTAGACATGTAGATCAGATTCTGGTGAGATCAGTAGAGGAGGACTCAGTAGGTCCTGGGACCACGGTGCCACCGAGGGCATGTATGGATCCATCTGAGGCTTGGGTAATGCCTTAGGAGGCTGCAGGCAGGCAGGGAGGTGTTTTGGAGGGTGAAACACAAGAAGGAGTGAGACCATCAGAGGCGGACGAGGAGGCTACCAAGGATTTGCGGGAGTATGTGTCACCTGTGAGACATTCACAACGCACGGTGTTTAAACCAAGTTAGCTAAAGGATTTTGTATGCTTAAAAAAAAAAGGAAATGTGTGAGACATATGTCATGGTACTATCAGGTGACAAATGTTAAACTGGGTGTTCTTGTATTTTATTTTATTTTTATTATTATTATGGTTTATTTCTTTATTTATTTTTCTTGTTTCGGTGAGTGCAACAGAACCTAAGGGGGGAGGAATGTAGTAGATGGAGTATTTGGTTATAGATGTCCTGTAGGGGGCAATAGAGGGTTGTTAATTAGCCTGGGTGTGGTTAGGCAGGTGGTGGTAGAAAAACGTTGTGTTGTTGGAAGGCATGGGTGTGGAGTAAAGAAGACCAATTCTACAGGAATGCCTGGGTGTCCTTATTGAGAAGATACCACATTACTGTTTTGATAAATGTGCTTAGATGTGTTTAGTACAGTATATGCTCTTCTTGTTTTATCCGGTTCATTTTGTGTTTAAGATTAAAAAAAAACATATTTAGGTGTAATTTTTTGGGCTGGGAACCAATTAATTGGTTTTCCATTATTTCTTATAGGCAAAATTCGATCAGATCTCAAACTTTTTACAATTCGATCCGGAGTTCCGAACGGATTAAGTTTGAGTTTTGAGGTACCACTGTAAACTTTAATTTGGTTTGATATGATAGTGAATGTAAGTGTGCTGCATTCTCATGAAGTGCTTAATATTGTGTTCCCCTACAATGAGGAGATGGTGTTGCACCTGACGCTGGAGGGGAAAGCATTCCAAGCCCTCCTCAGTCTGACCCCCAACAAGCAGTGGAACTACACCACTCTGGTGGTGGCACTAGAGCAGCGCTTCAGTCAGCGGCCATTGGAGGAAGTGATGAGGGGGGGAGCTGACAAGTCGCCAGTGGTGGGACAGCAAAACCCTGGATGCATTTGTGGCAGACCTCCACAGTTACACATAGAACAGCTATCAGTAGCACCATGCAGGAGGTCCTGGATCTCTATGGCTCTCAGGGCACTGGCACTGGAGCCGCTTTACCAATATGTACAGCTGTGGGGAATAACCAGTAGGCCTACTTGAGTTGAGGGGGGATGAGGAGGGATGTCATCCCCCCTGAAATAAAAAGTCAAAATCATCCCCCTTCTAAAACGAACATCCCCCATTCCATTCCTTGTGCTATTTTATCAATGAATGCATTAGTGATGGCCGATTCGCGAACAAATCGTTCTTTTTACCTCGGTTTTTTTTAGTGAACGGGTTGAACCGATTCGTAAGTCTGAATGAATCGATTTTTAAAATGATTTAAAAACGTTTTTAAAACTGATCTTTGGCTATTCAACCTCCAAAAGCATCCCCCGCGATTTCGGATTTATTTTTCATGTTCCGTCTGCGCTTGTCATCACTTTTACGTTCATTCTTTTGTTCGTCACTTACATAAGTCACTTTTGCATTCGTAGGCTTCCTTCTGGTGCCGAAAACACTCCAATGGCCGAGTACCTGGCCGTCGTGAGACACAGTTACTGTATAAGTGAAGGGAGATACAGTATGGTCTCTAACTCGGTGACTCAAAAAAAAAAGAAAAGCAAGAGCCCGGAAAATTGACAACAAAAAACATGATTATGAAAATCTTTGGAAACTTCTAAGAGGTTTTATGTAAGTCACTTTTATCCAAAAAAATCTCAGTTTGTGCTATATATTCGTGTAATTTGTAAGATTCATTTTCAGATTTTGTAAATTGTTTCAATTGTTTCATTCTTTTGTTTTTGCATTTGAATTTAAATTGACCTGACTTGAGAGGATTCAGATGTTCATTTACAGTGTTTTCTGAGGTTTTGTTTTGAATTTTAATAGATGAATTACCAAAAGATTTCAAAGTACCATGAGTATGAAGCTGTACTTGAACCAAGTGGGAAAATGTGTCCTCTACATTTGACCCTAACTATGGAGCATGTGATAGCTATGCCAGCCAGGGGATTGACTCCAATTCAGAGGTGCCTTGGTCAGGATCAATGACAGGAGTATCTAACACGTAACATCCACACCATGCTTTTTTTAGGATAGTAGAGTATATTAATTTTGCTTAAACAACAATAAAAAGGGTACACAGTTGGTCTCCCACCACGTGCACTGTCATCAGCACAAAATATGTCTGATAAACGATAAAATTCACCATCCCCCCTGATTTGTTTTTACAACTCAACTACTGGGAACAACTATGCTCGCAATAGCCTTGATAGAGGTGTTCGTGTCCCCGCCTGCAACATTGCACCAGCTGCCATCTATTCCTTGTTGAAACTATGTCTGTGAGATTGGGGGCTCCAGCGGTGATGATATCCAGCGAGTGCAAGTAAACCACAGCGAGCCACAGTGGTGGCACTGCCCACCATCTGATGCCCCTTTCTACTGCTCTGGGGAAGTCGGGCACTTTACATTTTACAGCCACCAGAAAATTCCAAGCAGGCAGCGCCATGAGGGAGTCTGGGAATGGTCAATATAGAAGGCTGGCCTGCACCTCAATCCCCAGAAATGCTCCCTCTTGCACCAGAAGACAGAGTTCATGAGTCATGTAGTGAGTGGTGAGGGCATGGTGACAGAACCAGGTAAGATCGCTTCGATCAGAGACTGGCCCATGTGCTCTGCTGGGGGGCAATGGGCTGGGTGCTGGTCTGCTGGGGGATGTTGGACCAGGAGCTGGGCTGTTACTAGGGGCTGCAGGAGCCACTGGGGTAGATGTCAACTACTGGGAACGTCACAGGTAGACGTCACAGTGGTGACTCTTGGCTGACAGGGGATTGGTTGTGCGCAAGGATTGCTGCGAGAGAGTGGTGTTGAGCTGCAGCGATTGTTTGGGATTGTTTTTTGGAGTGTTTTGAACGTATATTTTGAGTGTTTGTGTGCTTTACTTGTTTATGTGGGTGGCTGTTATATTTCTATTTATTGTTCTTATTTCGGTCGGCGTGAGTGCTTGTCTGTCCTGTCTGTTAATTAACAGCGCGATTATTGTGGCAGTGGTGGCTTAATGGTTAGGGAAGCGCACTCGTAATCGGAAGATTGTAGGTTCAAATCCCCGACCAGGAAGACCCCACTGAGGTACCCCAAGCAAGGTACCGCCCCCAAGCACTGCTCCCCGGGCGCTGAATTAGCTGCCCCCTGCTATGTCACGAAAGTCACATATGGGTTAAATGTAGAGGACACATTTCGTTGTTGTGCACTGTGTGCTGTGGTGTGTCAACAATGACAAATGACGTGGTTGAGAGAAAAGGATGGACAAGAATATAATATGGATGGTTACACGTTGTTCTGTAAAGACCATATAGGTAAGAAGGGAGGTGGTGTTGCAGTATATGTAAAGTAAAACTTGCAGGCAAGGGAGCTTACTGATACAATTAAAACTACGGAAGCTATATGGCTAAAATTAGATGCTAAAAACTCAAATAGCCTAATTGTCAGTGTTTGTTACAGAGCACCTAATGTAGCTGC